CACAGGTACAGACACACGAACCTGCCCTCCAGCGCCACACAGGTACAGACACACACACCTGTCCTCCAGTGCACCTGCCACACAGCTACAGACACACACACCTGACCTCCAGCGCACCAGAAACACACACCTGTCCTCCAGAGCACCTGCCACACAGGTACAGACACACACACCTGTCCTCCAGTGCACCAGACACACACACCCGTACACGTGTCACATGATCTTCAGAAATCATTCTAATATGCTGATTTGCTGCTCAAGAAACATTTCTGATTATTTACAATGCTGAAAACAGTTGGGCTGCACAATATTTTTGTGGAAACTGTGATGCATTTTATTTTTAAGGATTCAAAGATGAATAGAAAGTTCAAAAGAACAGCATTTATTTGAAATGCAAAACTTTTGTAACGTTTAATCAATTTAATGCAGCCTTGTTAAATAAAAGTATTCATTTATTTTTCTTTCTTTCTTTTTTTTTATGTTCAAGTTCAAGTTTATTTCTAAAGCACATTTAAAAACAGCTAAAAGCCGACCAAAGTGCTGTACACTGTCAATAGCACAAATACAGTAAGTAAAATATTAATAGCATAATGTCAAATACACATAACATGACTATAACGAAATCACTCTTTACAATGCTGAAAACAGTTGGGCTGCACAATATTTTTGTGGAAACTGTGATGCATTTTATTTTTAAGGATTCAAAGATGAATAGAAAGTTCAAAAGAACAGCATTTATTTGAAATGCAAAACTTTTGTAACGTTTAATCAATTTAATGCAGCCTTGTTAAATAAAAGTATTCATTTATTTTTCTTTCTTTCTTTTTTTTTATGTTCAAGTTCAAGTTTATTTCTAAAGCACATTTAAAAACAGCTAAAAGCCGACCAAAGTGCTGTACACTGTCAATAGCACAAATACAATAAGTAAAATATTAATAGCATAATGTCAGATACACATACCATATTATGTCTTTGTTTCCTTAAAAATATTGGGCAGCACAACTGTTTTTAACATTGATAATAATCAATAATGTGTCTTGAGGCGCATCACAGAAATAAATTGGATGCTCATAAAAAGGTAATTTTTCAAAGTAATTTTTTTCAATTCATTTTTGCTGCATGGTTAAAAATATACGCTATTTTAGTTCCCGTCACTCCACAACAAATAATTTGAACTGAACAGTATTTGGAACGGAACAAGAATGAAAATATAAAATTATAGTGTAACTTTACATATAAAATAAAAACACAAATTATAGTTCCATTCATTATAAACAACATATAAATGTTAAGTCAAAATTAATTTATTTAAAGTGAAACTAAAACCGTGTTGAGCTCACCTCTCTCATTTCAAATGTCAAATAAATGCAGCCTTGCTGAGCAGAAGAGACTATTGCTGTAAGTATAAAACAACCTTGTGGACTGCTCTGTTTGTCCTCAGCTGAATGAAACGGCGAAGCAGCTGATGGAGATGGACAAACCGTCGGCGAGCGCAGAAGCCGTCAGCTGTAACGGGAACGGCGCGCACACACACGCGGAGGGGAAGAAGAACGCCAAGAAGCGGCACTCGTTCACGGCGCTCAGCATGACGCAGCGCTCGGCGCAGGTGATGGAAAACAACCGGCACTCGATGGAGATCAGCGCACCTATGCTCATCAGCTCCTCGGACCCCCGCGCCGCCGCTCGCATCGCAGACTGCCCACACCTGTCTTCCAGTGCACCTGCCACACAGGTACAGACACACGAACCTGTCCTCCAGTGCCACACAGGTACGACACACACACCTGTCCTCCAGCGCCCCTGCCACACAGGCACAGACACACACACCTGACCTCCAGCGCACCTGCCACACAGGTACAGACACACGAACCTGTCCTCCAGTGCCACACAGGTACGACACACACACCTGTCCTCCAGCGCCCCTGCCACACAGGCACAGACACACACACCTGACCTCCAGCGCACCTGCCACACAGGTACAGACACACGAACCTGTCCTCCAGTGCCACACAGGTACGACACACACACCTGTCCTCCAGCGCCCCTGCCACACAGGCACAGACACACACACCTGACCTCCAGCGCACCTGCCACACAGGTACAGACACACGAACCTGTCCTCCAGTGCCACACAGGTACGACACACACACCTGTCCTCCAGCGCCCCTGCCACACAGGCACAGACACACACACCTGACCTCCAGCGCACCTGCCACACAGGTACAGACACACGAACCTGTCCTCCAGTGCCACACAGGTACGACACACACACCTGTCCTCCAGCGCCCCTGCCACACAGGCACAGACACACACACCTGACCTCCAGCGCACCTGCCACACAGGTACAGACACACGAACCTGTCCTCCAGTGCCACACAGGTACGACACACACACCTGTCCTCCAGCGCCCCTGCCACACAGGCACAGACACACACACCTGACCTCCAGCGCACCTGCCACACAGGTACAGACACACGAACCTGTCCTCCAGTGCCACACAGGTACGACACACACACCTGTCCTCCAGCGCCCCTGCCACACAGGCACAGACACACACACCTGACCTCCAGCGCACCTGCCACACAGGTACAGACACACGAACCTGTCCTCCAGTGCCACACAGGTACGACACACACACCTGTCCTCCAGCGCCCCTGCCACACAGGCACAGACACACACACCTGACCTCCAGCGCACCTGCCACACAGGTACAGACACACGAACCTGTCCTCCAGTGCCACACAGGTACGACACACACACCTGTCCTCCAGCGCCCCTGCCACACAGGCACAGACACACACACCTGACCTCCAGCGCACCTGCCACACAGGTACAGACACACGAACCTGTCCTCCAGTGCCACACAGGTACGACACACACACCTGTCCTCCAGCGCCCCTGCCACACAGGCACAGACACACACACCTGACCTCCAGCGCACCTGCCACACAGGTACAGACACACGAACCTGTCCTCCAGTGCCACACAGGTACGACACACACACCTGTCCTCCAGCGCCCCTGCCACACAGGCACAGACACACACACCTGACCTCCAGCGCACCTGCCACACAGGTACAGACACACGAACCTGTCCTCCAGTGCCACACAGGTACGACACACACACCTGTCCTCCAGCGCCCCTGCCACACAGGCACAGACACACACACCTGACCTCCAGCGCACCTGCCACACAGGTACAGACACACGAACCTGTCCTCCAGTGCCACACAGGTACGACACACACACCTGTCCTCCAGCGCCCCTGCCACACAGGCACAGACACACACACCTGACCTCCAGCGCACCTGCCACACAGGTACAGACACACGAACCTGTCCTCCAGTGCCACACAGGTACGACACACACACCTGTCCTCCAGCGCCCCTGCCACACAGGCACAGACACACACACCTGACCTCCAGCGCACCTGCCACACAGGTACAGACACACGAACCTGTCCTCCAGTGCCACACAGGTACGACACACACACCTGTCCTCCAGCGCCCCTGCCACACAGGCACAGACACACACACCTGACCTCCAGCGCACCTGCCACACAGGTACAGACACACGAACCTGTCCTCCAGTGCCACACAGGTACGACACACACACCTGTCCTCCAGCGCCCCTGCCACACAGGCACAGACACACACACCTGACCTCCAGCGCACCTGCCACACAGGTACAGACACACGAACCTGTCCTCCAGTGCCACACAGGTACGACACACACACCTGTCCTCCAGCGCCCCTGCCACACAGGCACAGACACACACACCTGACCTCCAGCGCACCTGCCACACAGGTACAGACACACGAACCTGTCCTCCAGTGCCACACAGGTACGACACACACACCTGTCCTCCAGCGCCCCTGCCACACAGGCACAGACACACACACCTGACCTCCAGCGCACCTGCCACACAGGTACAGACACACGAACCTGTCCTCCAGTGCCACACAGGTACGACACACACACCTGTCCTCCAGCGCCCCTGCCACACAGGCACAGACACACACACCTGACCTCCAGCGCACCTGCCACACAGGTACAGACACACGAACCTGTCCTCCAGTGCCACACAGGTACGACACACACACCTGTCCTCCAGCGCCCCTGCCACACAGGCACAGACACACACACCTGACCTCCAGCGCACCTGCCACACAGGTACAGACACACGAACCTGTCCTCCAGTGCCACACAGGTACGACACACACACCTGTCCTCCAGCGCCCCTGCCACACAGGCACAGACACACACACCTGACCTCCAGCGCACCTGCCACACAGGTACAGACACACGAACCTGTCCTCCAGTGCCACACAGGTACGACACACACACCTGTCCTCCAGCGCCCCTGCCACACAGGCACAGACACACACACCTGACCTCCAGCGCACCTGCCACACAGGTACAGACACACGAACCTGTCCTCCAGTGCCACACAGGTACGACACACACACCTGTCCTCCAGCGCCCCTGCCACACAGGCACAGACACACACACCTGACCTCCAGCGCACCTGCCACACAGGTACAGACACACGAACCTGTCCTCCAGTGCCACACAGGTACGACACACACACCTGTCCTCCAGCGCACCTGCCACACAGGTACAGACACACACACCTGTCCTCTAGCACACCTGCCACACGGGTACAGACACACACAACTGTCCTCCAGCAGACCTGCCACACAGGTACAGACACACACACCTGTCCTCCAGCGCACCTGCCACACAGGTACAGACACACGAACCTGTCCTCCAGCGCCACACAGGTACAGACACACACACCTGTCCTCCAGCGCACCTGCCACACAGGTACAGACATACACACCTCTCCTCTAGCGCACCTGCCACACAGGTACAGACACGCACACCTGACCTCCAGCGCACCTGCTACACAGGTACAGACACACACCTGTCCTCCAGTGCCCCTGCCACACAGGTACAGACACGCAGACCTGACCTCCAGCGCACCTGCTACACAGGTACAGACACACACCTGTCCTCCAGTGCCCCTGCCACACAGGTACAGACACGCAGACCTGACCTCCAGCGCACCTGCTACACAGGTACAGACACACACCTGTCCTCCAGTGCCCCTGCCACACAGGTACAGACACGCAGACCTGACCTCCAGCGCACCTGCTACACAGGTACAGACACACACCTGTCCTCCAGTGCCCCTGCCACACAGGTACAGACACGCAGACCTGACCTCCAGCGCACCTGCTACACAGGTACAGACACACACCTGTCCTCCAGTGCCCCTGCCACACAGGTACAGACACGCAGACCTGACCTCCAGCGCACCTGCTACACAGGTACAGACACACACCTGTCCTCCAGTGCCCCTGCCACACAGGTACAGACACGCAGACCTGACCTCCAGCGCACCTGCTACACAGGTACAGACACACACCTGTCCTCCAGTGCCCCTGCCACACAGGTACAGACACGCAGACCTGACCTCCAGCGCACCTGCTACACAGGTACAGACACACACCTGTCCTCCAGTGCCCCTGCCACACAGGTACAGACACGCAGACCTGACCTCCAGCGCACCTGCTACACAGGTACAGACACACACCTGTCCTCCAGTGCCCCTGCCACACAGGTACAGACACGCAGACCTGACCTCCAGCGCACCTGCTACACAGGTACAGACACACACCTGTCCTCCAGTGCCCCTGCCACACAGGTACAGACACGCAGACCTGACCTCCAGCGCACCTGCTACACAGGTACAGACACACACCTGTCCTCCAGTGCCCCTGCCACACAGGTACAGACACGCAGACCTGACCTCCAGCGCACCTGCTACACAGGTACAGACACACACCTGTCCTCCAGTGCCCCTGCCACACAGGTACAGACACGCAGACCTGACCTCCAGCGCACCTGCTACACAGGTACAGACACACACCTGTCCTCCAGTGCCCCTGCCACACAGGTACAGACACGCAGACCTGACCTCCAGCGCACCTGCTACACAGGTACAGACACACACCTGTCCTCCAGTGCCCCTGCCACACAGGTACAGACACGCAGACCTGACCTCCAGCGCACCTGCTACACAGGTACAGACACACACCTGTCCTCCAGTGCCCCTGCCACACAGGTACAGACACGCAGACCTGACCTCCAGCGCACCTGCTACACAGGTACAGACACACACCTGTCCTCCAGTGCCCCTGCCACACAGGTACAGACACGCAGACCTGACCTCCAGCGCACCTGCTACACAGGTACAGACACACACCTGTCCTCCAGTGCCCCTGCCACACAGGTACAGACACGCAGACCTGACCTCCAGCGCACCTGCTACACAGGTACAGACACACACCTGTCCTCCAGTGCCCCTGCCACACAGGTACAGACACGCAGACCTGACCTCCAGCGCACCTGCTACACAGGTACAGACACACACCTGTCCTCCAGTGCCCCTGCCACACAGGTACAGACACGCAGACCTGACCTCCAGCGCACCTGCTACACAGGTACAGACACACACCTGTCCTCCAGTGCCCCTGCCACACAGGTACAGACACGCAGACCTGACCTCCAGCGCACCTGCTACACAGGTACAGACACACACCTGTCCTCCAGTGCCCCTGCCACACAGGTACAGACACGCAGACCTGACCTCCAGCGCACCTGCTACACAGGTACAGACACACACCTGTCCTCCAGTGCCCCTGCCACACAGGTACAGACACGCAGA